TTTCATTCCATAACGAATGTTTGGAATACAAACTGAGTAGAGAAAAGTATCTCCTGTATACTTCAGTATTTGTTTCGAAAAGATTTTTTTCTTTCAATGTTTATATGAAAGTAGCTGTTTCAGGAGGACTTTATTTCAGTTTGTGTCTGAGAGTTACTTCTTTGCATGATCTACACATCCATGTGTAGAGTTACTTATTTTCAAATTGATTACTTCCTTCTTTTCTTTGGAAAATTCCCTCATCCTTTTTTTGTATCAAGATGGAGTAGTAGAAAGCCAAAAACTTCCTTTCCCAAAAAACAATAAAACTTGTAATGAAATACAATATAACGAATGGAATAATAAAGATACATTATGATTGTTAGTATACATAAACGTCTTTGGGTGCTAGCTGAACCAATCCTCCGAGAGATGACTATTTGAAGGTCATTCGAGTGCTTCCACCTATCTCCTCTTCCCTCTCTGCGCTTCACCGGTTTAGCGGGAGATGACCGTTTCGTGGGAGTTCCGCATGATTACGGGTTTCCATGTGTTGCGTATCTCTACGCCAGCTTGGTTGAACGCGTCGTTGAATAACATATATGCAGCTTCTTTGAACTTCCGCTTAAACCAGTGTTGCACCCTATGGATGACCTCAGCTCAGTTATGTTTATGAGTCCAAACATGCTCTGCTATTCCTCATTTGCTGGTTTCTCCTCGCTCTGTGTTTCTCTTGTGCTTAGAAATGCGGACTTTTAATTGCCTCTCAGTTTCACCGATATAGGATTTGTGGACCCATGTTTATATGAACATTTCGTCTTGAAATTTTCTCAAAAATTGTTTGTTAAATTTATGGTACATAATTAATCAACGCCCTGTATATGGCTATAACTGGTGAAAGTGGCGATCCCTCGCCTTGTTATTGTTTATTCATTTATTTATTCATGGATTCACCATTAGAAACAATATACCTTACATTAATAACACTAATTACGATAATAATACTTTTCTAAGAATTTACATATTATAAGACAACAATAATATTAGTTAGTCTAACCTTATGTCACTCAGATATTTTTTCAAGGGTATCGACATTATACTTATTAAAACATCTTTTGCATCTGAACATCGGTATGCTGTAACCATAGCTAGTGCTATGATTTTTTATGCAAAAAAGTAGAGGATTCCTTGTGTCGTAAGATTTTACATTGAAGTTAATGATTTCTAGAAGATAAGGACAGTCGACTCCACCTGATGGTAATTTGTTCAGATAAGTTAACATTATTTAAAGTATTTTGACGATTGAAGTTGGAATATGTCTTCATTGTGAAGCATATATAGGGTGTAACTAAATAAGTGTAAAATATTCAAGGAGGTGATTCCCCATCGAAAAAAAGATAGGATCTTCCATATAAAGAAATTCCATTGGAGCATCCCTTGTTAAGATACAGTCCCTTAAAGGGGGTACATAATATTTGTATGAAAATTTTTCTCACAAGCACTGAAAAAGTTACAATATTGAAATTGAATTGACGTTTTGTACTAACAAAAAG